ATTTTGTAAAAATTTTAAGGCTTGATTTAGAGCAAGTAGCTCGCACATCTGTGTGGGCCATTCAGTAATCTTCCTGATTTTGTTTCTGTGAGGGTAGCTTTGTCAACTACAGAGTATCTGTAATCCCTTTTTCCTTCTATTACCGGAGAGGAACTGTCTACAAAAAGATGTTTCCCTGTTTGAAAAGGAGTTTCACTTAAGTCTAGTCTTAACTTTGGTTTGGTAACTAATTAGGTCTAAACATTTATGCTCAAGTTCCTTTGGTTGTGGGTTCCCTGTTACCTTTTGGTTTGGATTCCCGGTTAGAAAAGCAGCTGGATTTAGAGAATTGTCAGTGGTTAGTGTCAAGTCATCTCTCTAACAGGATAGCTTCATATTTTAAAATTCTTGAATCAGCGAGCCACCTTTCTGCCTTTTGGTTGAGGATAGTTCTGACTTCGTGAGGTGTGCTAACGGAGTTTTCCCCCAAAGGTTAATTTTCTGCTTTCCTTGCTCAGTGAGGAGTGTAGCTTGGGAAGAGGCAGCCTGTTTGGCTATTTGGTTGCCTAGATTATTTCCCCGACTTTCAAAGGAGAGGGTTTTTTTGGTGTCCTGGGACATGAACAATAGCTATTTCCTCAGGAAGCTGGAGATTATCTAATACTTGTATTAGTAACTCTTTGTGGACTAGGTTTTAGTAACTCTTTGTGGACTAGTAACTCTTTGTGGACTGAGCAATAGCTACAGATTGGACACAATCTGCTACAGATTGGACACATTCGGGCCATCCACAGGTAACGGGGTCAATAACTTTTGACAGGAATGCTGCGGGCTGCCAGTGGCCCCCATGCTCTTGGGTAAGTACCCCTAAAGCCACTCCTTTGCTTATACTGACAAAAAGATGTAATGGCTGTTCTAGGGAGGGTAAAGCTAGAACAGGGGCAGTCACTAGTAAATGTTTTAACTTTTCTACTTGTTTGATTTCTGGTGGAGTCCAGAGAAGGGGGTCTGGCTCTTCTTGGGTGAGTCTTTGGTACAAAGGTTTTGTTTCTAAGGCATAAGAGTCAATTCATAGGCAACAGTATCCAACCAATCCCCAACATTTTCTGAGCTCTTGTTTTGTTTCTGGCAGAGGTAGGGATATGATACCTTCAATCCGTTCAAACCCAATTTGCTTTTGCCTTTCCTCATCCCCTCGTACATATACCTTTTGGGCCTCTCTTAAAAGCTCTTCTATGGGACGGTCTTTCCAATTTTCTATCTTTTGTAATTTCTTTGTAATATCTGGTGACAAAGTGGAGCTTTAACATTCCTCACCCAAGGGTGTCTTCTAATTCTAGGCCAGCATATTTCCTCATTTGCTCTTTAAGCCTCTCTAAGAATTCCATAGGTCCTTTATCCTTTCCCTGTTGTATATTAAAAGCTTTGGTATATTTTGAGTTCAAGGAACTGATTCCCGAATCCCTTTAATTATCATATCTCTGAGATCTCTCATATTCCCTTGATGGTGTTATTCCATTGAGGATCTTGGGCCGGGAACTTTTGTTCAGCTGCAGGGATGTTAGGACTGAGGGGGTGTTCATGTTCCCAAGCCGTCATAGTGGCCCTGCGGATCATGCTTCTTTCCTCTCCCAAAAAGAGGATGCCTAGGATGGACATTAACTCAGCCCAAGTATACAACTGGGGTCCTAGAAATTGATCAGTTTGATCTGCTACTCCATAGGGATCGTCTAAGAGTGGTTTGAGTTCCCTTGTTAGGCTTTGGATTTCTGAACTGATTAACGGGGCATTGACGGAACCAATGCCCCCTCCTCCTAGAGGCACTTCCCTTAAGGGAAAGATCGTTGGAGCACATTCTCTGGAGGTAGTGGGGAAAGGGAAGTTTTGGATATCTTTTTTACATTGTGCTATCTCACACTGAAGTCTTCCTGGGGGAGGGCATTCAGGCTGGGGAGACCCTAAGAGTCAGGATTATGAGGGGGAGAAACAAAGTGAGCTGGGGAAGGGTCTGGGGCAGTTGCATCTACTGGAGGGGGAGGGAAGTTAGTGGTGTTTGGCAGGGAAGGTGGTCTAAGGGGTCCCACGTGTTGGTTGACTTATTGGGGTAAGGGATATTAATTTCTTGAGAAGAAGTAGCTTCTGGCTTGTCTCCTGTATCCTTTAGGGAATATAGGACAGGCCCCTGCCGCCAACACAGGGCATAGCCTTATTTCCTCCTGGGACACAGGACTTTTGTTATTGATATACCCTATTAAAAGTTGACAAATCCAGTCCTCACTAGACTGAAACTCTTGGCCAAAAGACTGAAGGTTTGAGGATAGGTTCTTTGGTCCAAATAAAACAGCAGTATTTTATCATTTGTTGCTTTTTCTTGTGTTTGGTCCTCGCATTATCCTTCCAATATGTTAACATGAGACCTAGAGGGCTATCAGAGGGAATTGTATTGTCTGTCTTGTCCTTTTTATTTCCTGTCCTGCTTGAGGTACTTCCCATTGTGGAAGTTTTAGGAGTTTCCCTGCGTTTCCTGAGTCTGTGTGGCTCAACCTCTTACTAGAGATTTCTTACCCCCTTCTCTCTGGAGGTTCAACCCCTCCCCGCCCACTGGAGGTTTCTTGCACTCCCCTACTTTCACTTCGTACTTCTCTGGCTACTTCCCTCATGGGAATTTAAGCCTCTCTAAGAATTCCTTAAGTCCTTTATCCTTTCCCTGTTGTATATTAAAAGCTTTGGTATATTTTGAGTTTGAGGAACTGATTCCCGAATCCCTTTAATTATCATATTTCTGAGATCTCTCATATTCCCTCGATGGGCTACATTGTTATTCCATTGCGGATCCTGGGCCAGGAACTTTTGTTCAGCTGCAGGGATGTTATGAATGAGGGGGTGTTCTTAGCATTGGCAGGTTGGTATAAGCCTCACAACAGGAAAGCTGCCTTAAGCCATATGAGGTGACATGGAACCACGGATCCGGACTCCACACTTGCTTCACACTCAATTGTGTATCTTATTCACACACTTTCAACCTCCAGGATGTCCTGACCACCAAGGAAGTACTTCACCGCCCCCACAGCTTTTCTGACCTTGGTGTGTGCAGAGTTACCTGGTGGCTGCGGTATTTGTAGGCCTTTTCTTCCTTCATTGTTGAGAGTTCAGGTTTATTCCTCACACGGGTGGTTCTCAATTCCTTACTCCTGAGGCCATCACAGTGAGGCAGCGGGACTCATCTCCTCATGAGAGGTGATCAGAGACCCTTCCCCGGAGGAGAATGGGATACCAGACGAGCCCCCAAACAGTTGGAAATAAGAGCCTGGAGTCACAAAGAAAACAAGCACTTAAACAAAAGACTTCTCAGCAAGGCAAATTTACTTCTGCAGAAGGGTGCTGCCTGCACCAGTCACAATCGCAAGAGCACACTGAACAAAGGAGAAGAGAAGGGTTTTCATCCCTAACGCAGCTTCTGTTTGTGTCCCTTCCCCATTGACTGGAGTCAGACCACACAATTTAAGCTAACCCAATTGGCTAAAACTTGAAATTTTTCTAAATAGGGTAGATAGGGAAGAAGGGGTAGCAGTGGTAAAACTTTTCCAAATAGGGTAAACTGACACCTTTAAATGTGTAACTTATAAAGGAGGGGAGAGAGGGATTGTCCGTTAAGGCATGTTTGGGCATGTTTAGGCATGGCAAAGATGGAAAGGCTTGTTTAGAAAACAAGAATTTATCTTTTCTAACAATGTGAAAGGACGTTAGTTGCTAAAAGAAAGAAGTTTGAAGAGGAACTGATTATTTCTAGCACCAGCTACTTGGAAGGCTGAGGCAGGAGAATTGCTTGAACCTGGGAGGTGGAGGTTGCAGTGAGCCGAGATCACACCATTGCACTCCAGCCTGGGTGACAGAACGAGACTCTGTCTCAAAAAAAAAAAAAATGAATTACAAGCCAGGCACAGTGACTCAAGCCTGTAAGCACTTTGGGAGGCCAAGGCAGGCAAATCACTCGAGGTCAGGAGTTTGAGACCAGCTTGCCCAACATGGTGAAACCCCGTCTCTACTAAAAAATATATAAATTAGCTGGGCATGGTGGCACGCACTAGTAGTCCCAGCTACTCAGGAGGGTGAGGGTGCAGTGAGCCAAGATCATGCCACTGCACTCCAGCCTGGATGACCAAGTGAGACCCTGTCTAAACCCCAAAAGAATTACACCTGAAGTTATTCTCTTGGTTACCCTACAGTGCCATCACTTTTTGAGGATGAGCACTCACATAGCCCTATATGCACTCATACACACAAAGTTCTTGCCAGTTCTAATAGACTTGTGCTCTTTCTTGCTAAAGCACTACTCTAAGCTCTTAACTCTCACATGCAATGACCAAACCCCACACTCAACACTGAGTTCCTCAACTCTTTATCTCAGCATTTCTACTGACATGTAAGACCTTAATGGTAGAAAATATTAAATGCCCTGTTTTAATTCAAATTTGGAAGGGTATCTGCATAGGGTTCAGTCACCAGCATGTCAGGGCATCCTGGTTGAGAACCACTGACTGCTGTTTCACCACAAATTACAGTGATAAATCTCTTGCTATGTCAACTTCAGTCACAATTCTGTATCTGCCCCTGTACCAGACTTCTTAAAACCCCATTTTGTGTCAATAGAAATGGCTGGAAACAAAGTCTTGAGCCAACTCTAGGATATCCAAAGTTCAGGTTGTTTAAAAGAATCCCACTGATTAACAAGCTAATCCACCATATATAATGGAGTGAGGAAATACTAGACTGGTTTAATTCTATAATATTAAGACCCAACAATCTTGAGCATGAAGAGACAATTCCATTTACACAGGTGCTCGTGAAAAGCTTCCTACCAAATGATATATATATTTTTATTCCCGCACCCACCCCCCCAAGTGATATTTTGTATGTAAACCAACTTGGGGACAATGGAGGCAAGATGCTCTTATTTCACTGATGGCAAATGACCATCTTCCAGAGCCAGCAATCCATAGCTATGAAAGACCCAACCTCAATGCCAGTGGTTAAAAAGAAATCTTTATTTTACAAAATTAAAAACATAAATAATATTTACAAGCATCTTAAATACCAGCTTATAATACTTGACATTTTTTAATCATTTCAAATTGAGTTTCTCATAAGCTTTTAAAATGCAAGACCATTCATTCACTTGAGTGAGTTACCAGTTTTTATTTCCACCAATCCAAAGGGGGTTTTGGTTTTTGAAATTGTCCATACTGTGGTCATTCAAAAAAATACAATGTACTTTTGAAATGACTAGCTTTAAAAAAAAAAAAAAAATCCTGAGCTTCCTACCCCAGTTGTGGGATATTGCTCCAAAACAACTCAAGAACCCAAATTATCTTACTGCCTGATTAAACGTAACCACTCTAGCTTTTTAAAGACATTCCTGGTACTCACATTAATCCATCTCCCTAATGTTTCAGGTTTGCTGGAAGGAAAAGTAGAGAAAATAGAGAAGTGGGAGAATCCAGATGACTATCTGAAATCACATTATTGAAAATACAACAGACATGACCCAAAAATCTGATCTTACTAGTTTCATTTGGGATCAAATCCAGGATATTTTATTGTACAAAAATTTCAAATGATTTCAGATGATACGTATGCGACGGCAAACCTGAGTGGCACAATGGAACACAGACTTAAAAGATGCTTCAGTGGTCAACACTCATTCTGGAGTTCTCATGAATGAAGGGTACACAGATTCAGTAAAATTGTTTGCTTTTAAGTTTCATTTTCTGGTCTTCAAATTTCAGCACAGAGCAATTCATTTCCATATAGTAATATGTAAAGAAAGACTACAAAAGTGTGAGGAAAGCAAATGTCCTCAAGAAGGGTCAGAAAAGGAAAGGAAGACTCAGTATCTACAACCCATTACATAAGAACACCATTTTGTTCCATTTTCCCTGGAAGCCCTCACAGCTCAGCTGAGAATCAGAGTAAGAATCTTCATTATCAGAGATTAGCAATAAATTTAAAAGAAAAAGAATGACAACAGGTAAGAGTTATATACATTTTACTAGTTTGTTTCAGACTTGTCCTGGATATTTAAAAAGGTGTCAAATGAGCCATGGATGCTGGTGGCAGGAGGCAACCAGAGAGGAGAGGCTCAGGGATGAGGAATGGGGAAGACTTACTTACAAATTCAGAGCAAACTCCTCTCTTCTGGGTCTAAAATAAAGACAACTTTGTCTTCAGTAAAACAAAAGTCTTTCTGCTCAATGCAGATGGTAGGTACAGTTTGCTCAAAAGAAGCATTTTCTCTTGGGGAAGATAAGTACACAGTCAGCACAGTAAGCACCACTCGGATCAGGCCCAACCTGCAGAGCCTGGCGCCATCACTGCTGCATGTTGTTGATAATCGCCAGGATGCTCATCTTCTCCTGGGCAGAGTCCACATCCTCATTCTGCTTCTGGGCCACTCCTGTGCCTAAGCCATAGAGCCGTCCACAGTACTTGGCATCATCAATGCTGTCCTCAAAAAACAACTGAAGGATGGGACAGAGAACCATGGTGAGAATTATGCTAGAAGTCATGACAAGTATAAACACTATCACATCTGGCCAGGCACAATGGCTCATGCCTGTAATCCCAGCACTTTGTGAGGCCGAGGCGGGCAGATCACTTGGGGTCAGGAGGTCGAGACCGGCCTGGCCAACATGGCAAAACCCCATCTCTACTAAAAATACAAAAATGAGCCAGGCATGGTGGCACACGCCTGTAATCCCAGCTACCTGGGAGGGTGAGGCGGAAGAATCACTTGCACCCAGGAGGCAGAGGCTGCAGTGAGCCAAGATCATGCCACTGCACTCCAGCCTGGGCAACACAGTGAAATGCCATGTCAAAAAAGAGAAAAACCACTACCACATCAGCACCTCCCAGCCTTCCTAAAGCCCTGAAAATACACCAAACTAGAAAAAAAAAAAACTAATAGTATAGAAAGTCTCAGCCAGGCACAGTGGCTCACGCCTGTAATCCCAGCACTTTGGGGTGCCAAGGCAGGTGGATTACGAGGTCAGGAGTTCAAGACCAGCCTGGCCAAGATGGTGAAACCCCATCTCTACTAAAATTACAAAAAATCAGCCAGGCATGGTGGCGGGCACCTGTAATCCCAGCTACTTGGGTGGCTGAGGCAGAGAAATGCTTGAACCTGGGAGGCAGACGTTGCAGTGAACTGAGATTGCGCCACTGTACTCCAGCCTGGGGAACAATGCAAGACTCCATCTCAAAAAAAAAAAAGCAGACACGGTTGTACTCACTGCAACCTCCGCCTCCCAGGCTCAAGTGATTCCCTTGCCTCAGCCTCCCAAGTAGCTGGGATTACAGATGCATGTCATCATACCTGGCTAATTTTTGTAGTTTTAATAGAGGCAGGTTTCGCCATGTTGGTCAGGCTGGTCTGGAACTCCTGACTTCAAGTGATCCACTTGCCTCGGCCTCCCAAAGTGCTGGGATTACAGGTGTGAGCCACCATACCCAGCCTAAACCTTTCCTTTTAATGCAGTCTTTTCATGCTCCTTTCTCTGCAGGAGAAAGGCTCTCCTATCTGAACAGACATACTTTCCATGTATTCTTTTACTGCCAGTATCTCTGTGCTGCTGCTGCTGCTGCTTTTAATGCAACTGCTCCCTTGTCTTTAACAAGCAAATCAATGGTTAAGAGCTTGGGCTCTGGATTCAGATGGACTCACTTGACCTTGGCAAAGTCATTTAAACTCCTTTTAAGCCATAGTTCCCTATCTATAAACAGGACAATAGGGTTATTATGAGGAATGAGATAACAAACAGTAAGCACTCAAAGCAAGATCTCTCCATTGTGACACTACTGGGGCAAGATAATTATTTGGGGTAACTTGTCCAGTGTATCATAGGATGTTTAGCAGCATTCCTGACAGGTAGCACACCACCCTCCCCCACCAGATTGTGACAACCAAAATCATGTACAGATATTAACAAATGTACCCTCCAGGGCAAAATCATCCCCAGTTGAGAACCACTAACCTAGAACATTTACCAACACATGGTAACAGTTGTTTATAATTAAGAGTAACAAAGAGGAAATGTACTCTCCCTCTCTACAATCTTAGCTCTAAAAAGGAGATCCATGTCTACAGATCAATTAATCTGATCCATTCCTCAAAAATGTCAACAAAATCGACATTTTAATTTTTCCAAGCAGCGTCTTACTCCTTCTACATCTTCAAATACATTTTAAAACCTGAGTCAGTGAGTAAAGAAACTAAAAGAAGAAATTAAGAGTCTTTTTACTAAGGGGTTATAGTAAACTCAATATAGTATTTATTTAATAGTAATTGACAGAACTTACCATAATGTCAGTGGGTGGCCTAACAAACATATTTGTATTACAGGAATCAAAAAAAAGCAAATAACTGAAAATTAGAGTTACCAAGAATACCAAGTTCTGGACTTGGGTGTGCTCAAGAATACTTGGTTACTAGAAAGTGGCTCTCATGTCAGAATGCTGCTTTTGCCTCTCAAACATGTGACATGCTGAACACCGTAACAAAAAACAACCACTTTCAAAGTGGCCATCAACTTGCTAAAAAAACAATCAGTGTGACCGGGCGCGGTGGCTCACGCCTGTAATCCCAGCACTTTGGGAGGCCAAGGCAGGTGGATCATCTGAGGTCAGGAGTTCGAGACCAGCCTGGCCAGCATAGTGAAACCCTGTGTCTACTAAAAATACAAAAAATTTACCCAAGCACCATGGCTCACGCCTGTAATCCCAGCACTTTGGGAGGCCAAGGCAGGTGGATCATCTGAGGTCAGGAGTTCGAGACCAGCCTGGCCAGCATAGTGAAATCCTGTGTCTACTAAAAATACAAAAAATTCAGCCAGGCACCATGGCTCATGCCTGTAATCCCAGCACTTTGGGAGGCCAAGGCAGACGGGTCACCTGAGGTCAGGGGTTTGAACCAGCCTGGCCAACGTGGCAAAACCCCGTGTCTACTAAAAATACAAAAATTAGCAGAGCACGGTGGTGGGCACCTATAATCCCAGCTACTCAGGAGGCCGAGGCAGAAGAAAAGCTTGAACCCGGGAGGTGGAGGTTGCAGTGAGCCCAGATCGCACCACTGCACTCCAGCCTGGGTGACAGAGCAAGGTTTCATCTCAAATAAATAAATAAATAAATAAATAAATAAATAAATAAAAACACATGTTCAGCAAACCTCAGCCCACACAACAGACCATCCACTACCTCCTTAGTCTTCAGTAAGTTACTGCCAAGAGGCCTGTGATCACATTCGAGGAAGTTTACCTCTTTCATCCTAAAGAAAGCCATTCCTGTCAGCAGTGAGTCTGAGCCTGCTTGGTGCTGCCTTCCAATCCTCTGCAAATCCAACTGATCAGCAACTTCCTGAAGACCTCCCTGGAGATATATGAAAAACAAAGATAGTATTACAGACCCAACATGCCTCTACTGAAGTCAACTAAGTGCAGTTATGAGTTCACTAAATTCTAGCAAGAAATGGGGACAGGCCATTTATTTAACAGGCCTTAATAACCTCTTTTTAGCTCTTTTCTTCCCTTTTTCCAAACGCTATATTGTGCTACATCCTATATTTTGCTCCTTTCCATGTTGTTAATTTTGCCAGACCTCTGCCTTTAAAATCAGAATTGCAAGGCTGAGGAAATAGTAAATCCCACTCTAATTCTAGACAGCAAATCTCTATGTCAACAATTTATTAGGGTACCAAGTTCTAAAACTTTCTAGAGTTAAGAACCCCTCTGAGAATCTGTTACACCACAGACCCCATCCCTAACAAACAGCATTTATACCTTTTCATTAGGTTCATGGGCCTCGAGTGAAGAATGCCTGCCTTAAGATGACAGAAGCAGAGGGTTCCCTTCATGGCCACACAAATATCTGTGCAAATCAGCTTTATATTATACCCTGTCTACCACCACACTGGCATCTAGTACTCAATAATGCATGCTGAACACATAACAATAAAGCAAAGTCAGCTTTTTTTCTGTCCTTATTTTTGTTACTGGTATTAAGAAAAACATCATATACCTTAAGATTTTTGCAACTCTTCATCAGGTATTTCACATCATAAATGGATGGGAAGAAAAGGTTCAGAATATGAAAGAATTCATGTTCCTCTTCTGGCAAACGAGAATCTGTAAGCAACTTTACCATATAGCCAAAATCATAGCCACTACAAGGAGAGAATAAACCACAGAGGTTAAAAAAGCAGCAGTTATCAGGCCCCAGTGTTCAACCATTTTATTTCTCAAAGCTTGTAAATGCTACTTCGTGTTAGGAACTTTCACTTTTTCTGAGTAGTTTATTGTACTATAATCTGAATCTTTTTTTTTTTTTTTTTTTGAGACAGAGTCTCGCTCTGTCGCCCAGGCTGGAATGCAATGGCGCGATCTCGGCTCACTGCAACCTTCACCTCCCGGGTTCAAGCAATTATCCCTGCCTTAGTCTCCCAAGTAGCTGGGATTACAGGCGCCCGCCACCATGCCTGGCTAATTTTTGTATTTTTAGTAGAGACAGGGTTTTGCCATGGTGGCCAGGCTGGTCTCGAACTCCTGACCTTAGGTGGTCTGCCTGCCTCAGCCTCCCAAAGTGTTGGGATTACAGGTGTGAGCCACCATGCCCGGCCTATAATCTGAACTTTCCAATAACAACCTAACAGGCTAATATGGGAGATATAAAAAAGTACCCAAAGGTTTTAACTGTGGATTTGATTCACCAAAAATCCAAAAGTACTGAGAAGTTAAAATAAGGAGAATCTGGCTTTCAAGTACCTAAGAAACTCTGGGGACAGCCATTTAAAAGATAACCAAGTACTGTGACCCTCTCCACCCACCATATTCCCACTTGGAATTAAACCCACTGATAGCCACATGATGAAGCCAAATACCGTGTGAAACAAACCAGTATATAAGCCCCAGTATTTTCTGAAAAACTGAAACATGGGCAACAAGTACCAATTCAACTTCTGACTGCTGCTGATGAACAGAACAGTCACTAGGACTTCAAAAATGACTAAGAATTCAGTTCCCTGCTCCAGTGTAGCCCAAAGCGAGAGAGAAATACACATTCCCTAGGACTGACCTATGAAATGAAAGCCATTTGACATTGTCACAGAGAACCACTCCTGATGTCATAAGCAGTTCTGCAAAGTGCAGTGTGTCAATCCCTTCCTCTTCATGCTTCTGAAACTGTAGTCCTGAGTTAGCAAGGAGATCTATGGAATCCTGGGAGTACATGTCCTCTCTAAAAAACAAGGTGTTTATTAACTGGTGAATAAAGAAACAGAAGTAGTGGCCACAATATTACCACCACCTTATACTTATAGTACAAGTATTTTTGAAATGCTTTTCCTAACTTAATAGATCAATTCACTCTTTCCAACATTCAAACAAGCATGCAGAGTAGATCATCATATTTCTGTGACAGATAGAAAAATGAGATTTTCCTCCATAAACTAAATTTCCTAATTATAATGGGTATACATTTGCTCATTATTTGGAAAAAAAAAAAAAACAGGCACAGTGGTGCACGCCTGTAATCCCAGCACTCTGCAAGGCCAAGGCAGGAAGATCACCTGAGGCCAGGAGTTCCAGACCAGCCTGGGCAACAGACAAGACTCTGTCTCAAAAAAAAAAAAAGAAAAGAAAAGAAAAAAAAAACCACCACACACACACACACACACACAGACACACACGCAGACACACACACACGGCAGGAAGATCACCTGAGGCCAGGAGTTCCAGACCAGCCTGGGCAGCAGACAAGACTCTGTCTCAAAAAAAAAAAAAAAAAAAGAAAAGAAAAAAAAACCCACCACACACACACAAGCCAGGCATGGTGGTATGCATCTATAGTCCCAACTACTCCAGAGGCTGAGGTGAGAGGATTGCTTGAGGTCAAGAACTGGAGGGGGCTCACACCACTGCACTCTAGTCTGGGTGACAGAGCAAGATCCTGTCTCAAAAATAAAATAAACAGGCTGGGCGTGGTGACTCACACCTGTAATACCAGCACTTTGGGAGGCTGAGACAGGCGGATCACTTGAGGCCAAGAGTTCAAACCAGCCTGGCCAACATGGTGAAACTCTGTCTCTACTAAAAATACAAAAATTAGGCCGGGCGCAGTGGTTCATGCCGGTAATCCCAGAACTTTGGGAGGCCAAGGTGGGCGGATCACAAGGTCAAGAGATTGAGACCATCCTGGCTGACATGGTGAAACCCTGTCTCTACTAAAACCACAAAAATTAGCTGGGCATGGTGGCATGCACCTGTAGTCCCAGATACTTGGGAGCCTGAGGCAGGAGACTCGCTTGAATCCGGGAGGCAGAGGTTATAGTGAGCCAAGGTCGCGCCACTGCGCTTCAGCCTGATGACAGAGCGAGACTCCATCTCAAAAACAAAAATTAGTCAGACGTGGTGGTGTGCCCCTGTAATCCCAGGTACTCAGGAAGTTGAGGCATAAGAATCACCTGAACCCAGGAGGCAAAGGTTGCAGTGAGCCAAGATGGCACCACTGTACTTCAGCCTAGGGAATAGAACAAGACTCTGTCTCAAAAAATAAATAAATAAACTTAAAAAAAGAAAAAAAACAAGACTGGGTGCAGTGGCTCACGCCTATAATCCCAACACTTTGGTAGGCCAAGGTGGGCAGATCACCTGAGGTTGGAAGTTCAAGACCAGCCTGACCAATGTGGAGAAACCCTGTCTCTACTAAATATACAAAATTAGCCGGGCGTGGTGGCGCATGCCTGTAATCCCAGCTACTCGGATGCTGAGGTGGGAGAATCACTTGAACCTGGGGGGCAGAGGTTGCAGTGAGCCGAGAGCGCCATTGCACTCCAGCCTGGGCAACAAGAGCGAAACTCCATCTCAAAAAAAATAAAAAAAAATCAACCAACAAAAAAATACTGAGGCACAGATGGTGGGCAGCCAACTAAGATGACCCGATGCACCTTCCAGCTGATTCAGGCTGCTTGCCTCAGTCTCAGAGTCACCACCACCATGGCCAGTCAGTCTCAGGGGTTCCAGCAGCTGCTGTGGGCCAAGAAATGTGCCACTGAGAAGGTATCCAAGGCGCATGAGCAAAAAGACCCAGAGGCTGAAGCAGATCAAAGGAGCAGCTGAGGATGAAACTTAACAGTACCACCTGCAGAAAGAGGAAGCGGTCCAGGTCAAGGAAGCCACAGCCCTGGAATCCCAGTAGCTGCAGCACTCAAGTGGCATAGGAAGCCCAGAAAAGGACCAGCCACCAGACCTACTTATGGCAGAAAAAGGCTTGGGTAGCCTCTTGGCCTCTGTGACATTGGCCAGAAATCCATGAAAACTACAGCATAAATGGAAAGGAGTGGGAGAAAGAAGTGCCTGTTCCATGAACTGGCATTTTAGATAACCTCAGGGAACATAAAGCTTTGGCAAAGCTCGTTACATTCCTATGAAAAAGAAGTAAATAGGTCGGATGCGGTGCCTCACACCTGTAATCCTAGCACTTTGGGAGGCCAGCGTGGGTGGATCACAAGGGTCAGGAGTTAAAGACCAGCCTGGCCAAGATGGTGAAACCCATCTCTACTAAAAATACAAAAATTAGCCAGGCATGGTGGTGGCCACCTGTAATCCCAGCTACTCGGGAGGCTGAAGCAGAGAACTGCTTGAACCTGGGAGGCAGAGGGTGCAGTAAGCCGAGATCGCGCCACTGCACTCCAGCCTGGGTGACAAAGCGAGACACCATCTCAAAAAAAAAAAAAAAAGAAAAAAAAGAAAAAAAAAGGAAAAAAAAAAAAAGGCAGTAAACAGGTGGAGCGTGGTGGCTCACACCTGTAATCCCAGCACTTTGGGAGGCCAAGGTGGGCGGATCACAAGGTCAGGAGTTCAAGACCAGCCTGGCCAACATGGTGAAACCCCATCTCTACTAAAAAAATACAAAAATTAGCCAGGCATGGTGGTGGGCACGCCTGTAATCCCAGCTACCCGGGAGACTGAGGCAGGAGAATTGCTTGAACCCAGGAGGCACAGGTTGCAGTGAGCTGAGATTGTGCCACTCCAGCCTGGGTGACAGAGCAAGACTCTGTCTCAAATAAAAATTTTAAAAAATTTAAAAATTTTTTAAAAAAAGGAAGTAAAAGATTTCTGTATATTACATAGCAGGTCCCTTCACTTCTTGGAGAGTAGCAAATCTAGCTTCTTTGTACAGACTTACAACTCAACTAAAGCTCTTATATTTTAAAAAGGACATTAAAAAAATTTTCTCTTTACCTCGTATTTCATAGAAATGTAATGGGTGTGTGTTGTCTGTTTTCCTATGTCTTTTAGCTCAAGCAACACATGTATCATTGTTGACTTTTTCTTTCTTATATCTAGTGAAAGGAAAAAGTTCTTTGAAGAAGGAAAGAAATTAAGTTTTCTTTTTCCCTAATGCTTCCATGAAGGTCAGGGGCTTTATCTATGAAAAAGTAGCAAATAGTTATTTGTAACCCATGTGAAGCAACAGCCAGTCTTAAAGTAGTCTATTCCTGCTAATGGTTCAAACAATGAATACTAGTGTAATTGTTTGAGCTACTTTTAGTTTCTCTTAATCAAAATTACTAGATGACAGAATTAAATAACTTGTAACATGTTATTACTTGGTATACAGATGATTATCTGAAAGACTCTGTTATGAAAAAAATTGAAAAAATTAACATTCTTATAATGCTACCCCACAGATACAACACCTTCGTTTACAGCTCTTTCCAGACTATTTTATCTATCTACACATACACACCTACATCTCTTACATCTCTACATCACAGACCATCTTTACAAATCAGTACTCATCCATTGTAACACTGGCATAACATTCCACTGTAAAGATATATCCATTAATTCAACCACATGAATTATTTACGATACCATGTAACACAAAAGTAAGGAAATAAGCTAAACAAATCCTGTTCCATTAGACTTTCACTTGCTTTTCATATAAACTTGGGTTAGGCAATAAGAAAACCACTGCAATCTTGATTTTTTTCCACTAAATTAAAACCAGTGTTGAATCACAAGTTTCTTTTCCACTTAAATAAACATTATTTTTTTGTTTTATTATAACTAGGCTTCAATCCCAAGTAAACATTATTTCTTTTTTCTTTTTATTGAGGCAGAGTCTCACTCTGTCACCTAGGCTGGAATGCAGTGGCACAATCTCGACTCACTGCAGCCTCCGCCTCCTGAGTTCAAGTGATCCTCCCACCTCAGCCTCCTAAGTAGCTGGGATTACAGGCACCCACCAGCACACCTGGCTTTTTGTATTTTTAGTAGAGATAGGGTTTCACCACATTGGGCAGGCTGGTCTTGAACTCCTGGCCTCAAGTGATCCATTGATCCACCCACCTCAGCCTCCCAGAGTGCTGGAATTACAGGTGTGAGCCACCACGCCCAGCCGCAAGTAAACATTATTTTAAATCCAAACATACTCAAACCACTCTGAAATAACTCATTTTTCTTCCTTGTATTATATTATTTTTATGGTACAAACTTACAGGCTTTGACAATAAACTAAAAAATGCAGCTAAAGGAAAGAGCCAGATGATCTCTCAAAATTACTTGAACCTCAAGGAAATTTCCAAAACATACGAACAACAACAACAAAAGTTGTTCCTTGCAGGCACAATGGCTCACACCTGTTATCCCAGCACTTTGGGAGGTCAAAGCGGGCTGATCACTTTCCACAAAAAATTAGCCGGGCATGGTGGCATGCACCTGTAGTCCCTGCTACTTGGGGGGGCTGAGGTGGGAGGATCACTTGAGCCTGGGAGATTGAGGCTGCAGTGAGCCATGTTCACACCACTGCATTCTAGCCTGCGTGACAAAGTAAGACCCTGTCTTCACAGGAAGAAAAGATTACTCCTAAGTCATGAAACACTCCTGATGCCCAGTTAAACAAAGCAGGATATGATACGAAGTACACTAACATCACTTCATGCAATCAGCAAAATGACAGTGTCCCCCAAATTTTCTTTTAAAATTCCTGGGTATAAAAAATAAAAAAAAATTTTAAAAAATTTAAATTCCTGGGTATATATCCAAAAGAACTGAAAGCAAGACCTTGAAGAAATATTTGCACACCCATGTTCATAGCAGCAATATTCACAACAGCCAAGAGGTAGAAGAAACCCAAGTGTCTATCAACAGATGAATAAACAAAATGTGGTATATACATACCATGGAATCTTCCACTGCCTAAGAGTGGAATTGCTAGCTCATGTGGCAACTCTATGTTTAACATTTTCAAGAACTGCAAAACTATTTTCCAGAATTTCCCCCAAATTCTATATTCCCAGCAGCAATGTATGAGGGTTCCAATTTTCTCCACACTCTCAACAACACTTATTATGTCTTTTTGACTACAGCCATTCTAGTGGGTGTGAAGTGGTATCCCAATGTGGGTTTAATTTGCATTTCCCTCATGACTAATGATGTTGAGCATCTTTTCATGTGCTTACTGGCCATCTGTACATTATCTTTCAAGAAGTCTATTCAGATCTTTTGCACATTTTTAGTTGGGTTATCTTTTCATTGTTGAGCTGCTGCAGTTCTTTAAGCAGGACTTCACTTGCTGAGATTCCCTATTCCATCCTCTGCTTGACCACTCTATCCAACACCTACCTGGATTCAGTGAAAACAAAACTTAAAATTAACAAAATTATTTAGAAATCACTTACGTAAGGTTAAATTTGAAATTGAACTGCCAAGTATTGATTCCAGAAGGATATTCTCCCTTCTCATTTGTGAATGTAAGGCCCAGCTGGATAATTTTTAAAAGGTCAACATTGCACCGCAGAAGCTGATACTGGTAATCTATGGAACTACGAAATTCACCAATTGGTCGCACCACAACACCTGGAAATTCTGTGTCCTAGAAAAGGAAAAAGTCTCTCATCACAAGGTTTCAGAAAACAGTGGATGCTGAATTGGTAATTCATAAATAAAATTTTACCTCCATTTATAAAAGTTATGTGACAAGCCCCAAACTTGGGCACAAAATTCTTTTTGTGTTTTTTTGAGACAGGGTTGGTCTGTCTCTGTCACCCAGGCTGCAGGGCAGTAGCACAATCACAGCTCACTACAGCCTCAACCTCACAAGTGCAATCAATTCTCCCCCCTCAGCCTCCCTAAGCAGCTAGAACTACAGGTCCATGCTACCACACCCAGCTAATTATTGTATTTTTTGTAGAGATGGGGTTTCACCATGTTGCCCAGGCTGATCTCAAGTGATCCACCTGCCTCGGCCTCCCAAAGTGCACAGATTACAGGCATCAGCCAACACGACCGGCCAAAAGCCTATCTTAAAATACTGATCTTGTTGATATCTACTAAAGAAGCACTAGAATCATGAAGCTTCGCACAACAACTTGATCCTAAATAAGCAGAATGTCAATAGAAAGAGTTGAGTAACTACAGGTAGATATGCAGTCAATTAAGAACATTCTAGGTTGAGAACAATATATGAATAAAAATACAAATACAGGGAAGTGAAACAGCCATTCAGAAAAAAATACAAAGAGACAGGCTTAGCTTGAGTGAAAAGACTGGAAGGAGCTCTGAATACCAAGCTACAGACTTAACTCTATAATTTCTAAAGCAAGAGTCACAAATTCCAAGCAGCTAATGTAAAGGAGTAAAGTCAGCTAGGTATGAAAATGGTACAAGTAACAGGAACTGGAGTAAAACAGAGAGCACATGCCTCTCTACAGGAGGCTCTTAATATTACCACAATACTCATCTCTTTCTCCAGCCAGTGTCAGGCAGGGGTAGATAACATATATTGCCAGGTCTTCCTATTTTTTTTTCAGAGATGCCAGAAATCTGGAATTCAACTGAGTTCTATTGACTTTTAAATGCTGGCAATAAATTTTTAAAATTTTGAATAAACATTGTATAGTCAAATTCACCATATCTGTAGAACAGATGGGCCCCGGGGGTTGATGTAACTTCTGCTTTAAAGACTTTCAAACAGAATAATGTTACAAAAAATCTAAGATACTAGAGGTTACATCCTTCTCAGAGACACTGGCTACCTTGATATTTCATAAAGCAACACAACCTTCTGTCAGGTTTAATTCACAATGGCTTTAGTGGAACATACTCATTCTTTTCAAGATCTCAAATTAAACATTCCCTCAACCCATCCATATAAGAAGGTGAGTCAAGCTGGGCATGGTGGTATGAGCCTGCGGTCCCAGCAACCTGGAAAGGTGAGGTGGGAGGACTGCTTGAGCCCAGGAGTTCAAGGCTGCAGTGAGCTATGATTGATTGCATCTGTGAATAGCCACTGCACTCCAGCCTGGGCAACAGAGCAAGACCCCATCTCTAAGAGTAAAAAAGAAGGTGAGTCAGAGTAGAGCTCCTTACCATGGCAATATAACTGTAACTGAGCACGATTTCTCGGATCTTCCTCATCTCTTCTTCTAGATTACTGGCCCATACTTCACAGATAACCTGGCTATTCTCCACAAGTGCTGCAGGCATCTTGAAGAAACCTGAGAAGTCGTCGTCAGCTAACTAGTTTTACAGTGCAGGCCAGACAATGTTTGATCTGATCTAGATTTTAAAACATTTTAAAATCATGTAAGTTTATACACACATAAGATGTCAACAAAACAAAGACATCAAAACAATATTTTACAATCACTTCATTAGTTTAAAACATTAAGATTATTCTCCATTTTATATGATGGGGAAACTCTTGTCAACACACACAAACACACGCAAACACACGCACACACACACACACGGTTCTTTCCTGAAGAAACTGAAGTTACTAAAACTTCTGCCCAGCAGTCCTCTGCCACAGAAGTGAAACCACTACCCTAGTTTTTCAGCTCTCTGTAGACTAGACCAAAATAATCCCCAGTTACCACAAATATGCCCTTATCCATGACTTTCACATCACTTTGCACAGGGACCAAATCATGGAAACAGTCCTAAAGGAATCACCTTAGCCATTTTCAATGTACCTGAGATCTCTGAAAGCCTGAAAGAACGTAGACCTAAACTCTCACACTCAAGCCTTTGTACCCATATGATGAATACTGGCATGGGATTCTTCCCCCAACCCACAAAAGGAAATTATTTTTCTCTACAATCCAAAAGTCAAATATAACTAGAGGCAATTAACAATACCAGTGCCTCTTTAGATATACCAGTGCCTCTTTAGATTTGTGCAAACAGAGCATGAAGTGAGGGATTTAAGTGGTAGAAAACAATCCCACTTGCTAATCTGAACCCTAAAAACCACAACAAAAATCAGAATTTGAGTTAGTATTTACGTTTTTTTTTTTTTTTTTTAGATGGAGTCTCGCTCTCTCGCCCAGGCTAGAGCGCAGTGGTGCACTCCTGGCTCACTGCAACCTCTGCCTCCTGGGTGCAAGCGATTCTCCTGCCTCAGCTACCCAAGTAGCTGGGACTACAGGTGTGCGCCACCACGCCCAGCTAAGTTTTGTATTTTAGTAGAGATGCGGTTTCATTATATTGGCCAGGCTGGTCTTGAACTCCTGACCTTGTGATCCACCGGCCAGTATTTACTTTTAAACACATAAATTAAAAAGAAACTATGCAGCAATTCAACAGTAGGACTAAAGATGGCTGGTATAAATCATTCAGCCAGAAACAGAATGATTCATGGTGTATTTTTCAAGAGAAAAATTAGGGAGGGGAAAGTATTCTGTGAGAAAAAAACTCATCATGATTGGGTCTCTGACTAATGCTGTTATTATTATGGCAAACAACATACGTGGCCTGGTTATAAAAATACAAAAAAGTCGGCTGTGGTGGCTCACGCCTGTAATCTTAGCACTTTGGAAGTCTGAGGCGGGCGGATCACAAGGTCAGGAGATTGAGACCACCCTGGCTAACACGGTGAAACTCCGTCTCTACTAAAAATACAAAACATTGGCTGGCTGTGATGTCACGCGCCTGCAGTCCCAGCTACTCCGGAGGCTGAGGCAGGAGAATTGCTTGAACCCAGGAGGCGGAGGTTGCAGTGAGACAAGAAGTGCCACCACAATCCAGCCTGGGTGACAGAGCGAGACTAAGTCTCCAAAAAAAAAAAAAAAAAACAAAAAAACAAACAACAAAAAATAAAGGCATTTACTTCTAAGGCAAGCCCACTGCATGGATCCACAACACAATAGTGGACTCTAATGTATATATTTAAAGAAAATTTCCTAGAAACAGTAAAACGAATGTACGTGGTTCCCAAAGGACAGAGCAAGGAATATCTTTGCTTCCTACTTTCAAGATTGGCAGATGCAACAATGAGAATCTGGAGCAAAACAACACTGGCATCATTTCTCTAAGAAACTTCTGAGAAATCAAACTGTTGGTTTGCCAGCAACCCTTGAAGATTCCATTTATTCAAGGTATCCTATACTTCTACAGATTTTTCTCTGTAATTATAGTAGTTAAACTTAAGTAGACTATGTGGTATCTCCCCACAAAAACATAGTAGAAACTTCTTAAAGCCAGGATATATTTCTTCTCTTGTTTTTGTTCTATTACAGGCTTGCAAAAGAACAATAAAGATCAAGAAAAGAGAGAAGTTCAGAATGAATGTGGAGTAAATTCCACTATCTGACCATAATTCAGAAAATGTTCCAACTCAGAATTTTAGATTCCTAAACTTGCTTAAGATTTCTCCCCTGCAAAAGGCCTTAAAACCATTTTCTATACCCATATAATGTTAAATCAGTGGTACCTCCTTATTCCCTAACTGAAATAATATCCTTCATTTTTGGTGTCATTTCAAACATAACCATAACTACTTTGGAGGAAGTGGGTGTATCACTCCCGAGTTTTTGGGAGATGTTTCCATAAAAGCAAAAGCAACAACAACAACAAAAACCCCACACAACCAAAAGATGCCTTTAACCTCCATTTAAAAGAGAACTGGTTTTTAAAAAGTTAACCACTGTTACACATATCTGGCATATATATGGGGACTGCAAAAGCCAGACAGCTGGCAAAAATATGTAAGCCATTTTTGCTCCAAAGTTAGCTAGGATCTGTGGGGAAGTAAACAATAGCTTGCAAGCCCCTGAATGCAGTGCCACTCAAAAATTAAAGAGGAATCACACTATGCACATTTAATTTAGCAAGTCAAATTACTGACATATGTTTGCCAAAAAATAAAATAAAATAGCAACTTAAATACCAGGAGGAAGAGCGCAGTGGCTCACACCTGTAATCCCAGCACTTTTGAGAGTCTGAGGTTGCAGAATCACTTGAACTTAGGAGTTCGAGACCAGCCTAGGCAACAAAGTAAGACCTCCCCGTCTCTACAAAAAGTACAAAAACTTAGCCAGGCACGGTAGTGTGTGCCTGTAGTCCCAGTTACTCAGGAGACTGAGCTGGGAGGATCACTTGAGCCCCAGGAAGTCGAGGCTGCAGCAGTGAGCTGTGATTACGCCACTGCATTCCAGCCTCAGCGACTGAGCAAGAGCATGTTTCAAAAAAATCATCATCATCATCATCATCATACCAGCAATTCAGCCTGTCACTTTCCACTTCATAAGCACATGCTCCAAAATGAGCCTAAGATAGGGGTTTGTCTTCCTCCTTTTAAGCCTCCTCAGTGCAAGCATCTCACAGCACATCACAACTCTATGGCTTTCAAATATGCTTATTTGCACAACACAGCCCCTAAAGGTAACCTAATTACTTATCTGGGTTACAACCAAAGCAGCAGTAACAAGTTTCAAAACTGAAGGAAAAACTGTCCAGCATGTAGTCACAAACAGGATGCTAATCTCAAGCGTTGAATGTTCCTAAGGAATTTTTAAGGATTAATTTTTATTACATACAATGTTTGCCTCACGGGCTGACTTAAAAACTTGACTCCCACATGAGCTACAGAGAAAACTGTGCAAGAGGGAAAGGTTTTCACAAACACACACACCCCTATGAATTACTGAAGTCCCTGCCCTGTGCTGACCTGCAGGGCAGTATGTTCAGATGGCTCCCGTTGATCTACAGTGTAAACTTCTCCAAAACATAACTCCTTACTTACACAGGAAATCTCTGAAGGGCAACTAATGATAAAGCCACCGGAACGTTTTCTCTGCAAGCAATCAAGGCCTTGCTCGGGAAAAGAAATGTTGAGTCTGATTTTGTTTGTTTAAGCCCAAGTGTACAAGGAAACAATAAACATCACTTCCCTATTCGAGAGGACTGAACAAAGGCTTTGCCGTGCCTAGATAAGATAGAAAAGGAAGTGGCACGTTTGAAGAAATAAATAGCAGCAGCGTTTAAGAGGATCCTCTGACCCTCCCCTACCTCCAAACACAGTGTCTCAAGGCACTGTCCTGGACTGAACTGCAGTTCAAACTTCTTAAAACCACCCGAACGGCCCAGGTCTGTGAGTTGGCTCCTCCATTCCTAAAGCCATAGTACACCAAGAAAAAGTTGTGGGGCCTCAAGAACTAAGGAGGAGGCGGCGACTTAGAAGGGGGAGGCCCGCAAGATTCCATATTCAGGTCCTCCTCCCCACTACTCTGTCTCCCATCATCATTCTCTTCTCGTTTATCATCATCTTTCCACTTCAAATCACACTCAGTCCTCCTCCTTCTGACACGCCATTCTTCTTCTGTGTTTGTTTGGTAAAGCAAAGTTAAAATTACGGGCCTTAGGACTAAGAGAACTAAGTTCGAAGCCAGGTCAAGCCACGTAGTTGTGCGTCCTTGCATAAGCTACTTAACCTATTTCGTGCCTCAGTTTTCCTATCTTGTAAAAGGGGTTTGATAACAGTACGCACCTCGGACGATTGGAGTAGAAGTTAAAATGAAGCATATGAGGTGCTTTGTAAAGTCCCCGCACATATCACTCGAATATTACCTTGTGGCGGTGGCCATTATTATTACTACTCTTTGCTGGGTTTTCTCTCATCACACACCCTGCCCCTTACACACACCCCCACTCCCCTTCCCCCACAGACCCCCCATGGTCTCTCACACTCTTCCATCTTATGCTCCTCTTTCCGGTAAGCGCAGTCCCGCTTACCGTGACCGGCAGGGCCCGCGAAGCGCTGGCTAGCGGGCTGGCGGGCTGACTCCCGGACGGCGGCGGCGACAGCAGCCCCTGACCCGGAGCTCTCTTCCCTCTACCCCGGATCTGCTCCTAGAACCGAACGAGCCAGTGAAATGGGCGCCCACGTGCCCAGAGCGGCCTTACGTACCTCCCACCAAACAACCGGACGGCACCACTCTACCCACCCGATCCGCCCGACTCGCCTGCTCTCTAGAGTCACTCCACACGCGCGCGCGCCTGGTCACGCCTGCTCCTCCCCCTTTGCGCGCCCCTGCGACTCTGTGCGTGTTCGCTCCGCCCGTGAGCTCGCGGGAAGCAGCGCGCAGGCGCAGAAACAACAGGGCGCCGCCGAATAGGTGGGAAGCGGAGGCCTGGAAGCACGCTTGCGGAAGGCGGCCCTCCCGCCGCCCTCTTTGCGTGATTAGTTGCGCTCGCTCAATTTAATCATGATTATTACTCCTCCATTTTGGTTCTCTTTCCGCGCGAACAAGGAAGGGGCGTGCTCTAGAACAACCCCTCCTGCCGTGGGCGCGGCCTGGAAAAATCCAAAGGCCGAGGAAAGGGCGTGGCCCTTCGAACAAACCCCCACCCCGAATTACCACGCCCCCTCCTTCTGGCTTTGAAGGACCGTTAAAACCGTTGGCACGAAGGGATTTGTGGCGAGGCTGACGGAGAAAAAGGCTGTCCTGGTTTTCTGTTCTAATATGGCCCCCTAGATGCCTCACTTACAAAGCATCTATCTTACGGTTCCTTTCTGGCAAACAATTAGTTGGGGGTGGGGCGGCTCCCGAAAGCCGAGAGTGGGTGACTTCCGCCAAGGCCCGCCTACCTCCCGGCCTCGCCCAGCAGAGGGAGGAACATTGCCATAGCAACTGGCCCGCCAGGGTCTGCTCCAGTTACAAAGAGGACGGCGCCTCCCGTGGGCACGGCGCTTGGCCAGCGCAGGCGTCGCCGGGCTCTTAAGAGCTCCAAAACCTTTGCGAACGCGCAGGGAGTTCGCCAGATTTTAGTGTCGAGACCCACGGGCTCAGGCCTCGCCCAGGAGCTTCTGAAGCCCCTCGGCCAGCCCTTTGGTTCCCTTTTAATCCTGCTTGGAGACAGGGCTCTTGACCGACGCCCGCCCTGGGCAGCGTGTGACCAGCTGGGGCGCGCCTCCGCCTCGTGTTCTCCGCGGTGGGAGAGAAGACAAAGCGCCGGCTTCCTGCCCACAACGTCGGCGGCGGGCCGCCCTCAGCCACTCTGGCCAGCGCTCCACCCCTGTTCCCGAGAGGACGTGGGGGCTGCCCCAGGCACGGTTCTAGTCCTTGTCCCAGATGCTTCTACTTGAGGTGCTGTTGATAAAAGAACGGCAAATGCACCCCTAGTGACCGGGAGAGGGTCTTCTACTCTTCACTTTGCACTTTTAAACATTTCTTCCTAAGGGGATTCTCCAGAATCCTTCCAATTCCTAGGCTGGATGCCGAGCTGGCCTTGAGCGGCAATTTCAAACGGGATTCCCAAAAGCTATTCTCCAGGGAGGTGAACTCCTAGCTCCAGCCTCCAGGATAAGAGCATCAAATGCACTTTCTGAACTCCAGTCCCCCTCTTCTCCCCTCCAAATGAGTGTTTAGCTCCTTATCTGCAAAATTAGGATACCATTGGTTCTCATGAGCTTGTGAAGATTAAATAGTTAATAATTGGAAAAACACCGCGCACCAAGGAAGATATAAAAGAGCGTTCGATAAACGGCATGTCTCAGTTTGCTCTCTCTATAACAGTCGATTTGGGGCCGGGCGCGGTGACTCCCTGAGCCTGTAATCCCAGCACTTGGGGAGGCCGAGGCGGACAGATCACCTTAGGTCAGGAGTTCAACACTAGCCTGGCCAACATGACAAAACCCTGTCTCTACTAAATAATACAAAAATTAGCTGGGCGTGGTGGAGGGCACCTGTAATCCCAACTACTCTGGAGGCTGAGGCAGGGAGAATTGCTTGAACCTAGGAGGCGGAGGTTGCAGTGAGCCTAGATCGCGCCACTGCACTCCAGCCTGGGCAACAGAGCAAGACTCCGTCTCAAAAAAATAATAAACAGTGATTCGGTTGAGGAATACACTGATAAAGAAGGCAGGCAAGTTTCCCATTCACCAGTCAGTTCTGTGGGTTTCTAACGTGCTTTCGCCCACTTATAATTAGAGTCAGGAGAGGCTAGCACTGACAGGCAGGCAGTAGTCACATGAAAAGTGGCCTCCCCAGTCCTTTCTTGGAATTTTGTTTTTTCCTGTGGCACTGTGCCTGGTGTGTGTTAAAACAAACAGGAAACACCGTGTCCAGCCCCACCACCACCCCTCACCCAGAACTGGGTGCTCGTTTCTCAAATTATTGAAAACAAATATAAAGCAAGCATAGATGGATTGTATTTTAGGAGGAGCTGGAATGTTATTTTATTTTATTTTATTTTCACATTTAATAAGATTCTTCCACTTTAATGCATAAACCCTTTGATATCAGTGTCAACCAGGAAAATTCATGTTAGAAAAAATTGGAATGAGAGCTAATATTCTATATTCAGAACATTTGAGAAAGCATTTTTGACTATTACAAAAGTTTATTTAACAAAAAGTCTAATATGAAAATGTATATGACCTAATTTCCCTATGGAGAGAGGACATGGGTTTCTCTGCTCAACAGCCATTATTTATACTCGTTCCAAGGCTTCTAACATGATGTTACTATTTCCTCGTATTACCACCATTCCAATATTGTTCTGTTGCCCACTAGTTGCCATCTCCACACATTCATCTATCACAAGGTTCATAAAGGGATCAAATCACCGCAATATTCCTTGGACATGTCTGCCACCATTTAATTTCAATGATAACTTCTTGTCCATAAATTTTTTCAACTCGGGAGGGTGAGCTTTGCTCATGGCGTATACTCCGCGGGCTCACAGATGCCTTGGAACTGAATCTATTTTATTTTTTAGACAAGAGTCTCGCTCTGGCACCCAGACTGGAGTGCAGTGGTGCAATCTCTGCTCACTGCAAGCTCCGCCTCCAGGGTCCACGCCATTCTCCTGCCTCAGCCTCCAGAGTAGCTAGGACCACAGGCGCCCGCCACTGCGCCTGGCTAATTTTTTGTATTTTTTTTTAAGTAGAAAAGGGGTTTCACCATGTTGGCCAGGATGGTCTCGATCTCCTGGCCTAGTGATCCACCCGCCTTAGCCTCCCAAAGTGCTGGGATTACAGGCATGAGCCACCGCGCCCGGCCTAGAGTGTTACCTTTTGAACATCGGATATGATGCTGTACTCATGGATATCGCAAACTTAGAATAATTTTCCAGAAGTCACTGCTTCCCAGTCGGAAGGAGGTCCCAAATGAATGAGACGGTAGTTGGAAAAGAATATATTCAGTGATATCATTTCATATTTGAGAAGAAAACTCTATTGCTTTTTGAGATGAGGGTCTTGCCACGTTATCCAGGCTGGTCTTGAATCCCTGGGCACCCAGGCTCAAGTAATCCTCCCCACTCAGCCTCCTGAGTACCTGGGATTACAGGTGCATGCCACTGCTCCTGGCCCCTACTGTTTTTGAGCTGCAAACTATAGAAAGTCAGGTTCCAACAAATCTCATTTGGGAGAGTATACGTTTTTGGGTTTTGGTGGTTTTTTTGTTTGTTTGTTTTTTGAGATGAGTTTCGCTCTTGTTTCCCAGGCTGGAGTGCAATGGCCCGATCTTGGCTCACCGCAACCTCTGCCTCCCAAGTTCAAGCGATTCTCCTGCCTCAGCCTCCAAGTAGCTGGGATTACAGGCATGAGCCACCATGCCCAGCTGATACTGTATTTTTAATAGAGACGGGGTTTCTCCATGTTGGTCAGGCTGGTCTCGAACTGTCGACCTCAGGTGATCCGCCCGCCTTGGCCTCCTAAAGTGCTGGGATTACAGGCGTGAGCCACCGCGCCAGGTCTTCTCAATTTTCTTAAATTTATACTCTCCTGCCGGGTGCGGCGGCTCACGCCTGTAATCCCAGCACTTTGGGAGGCTGAGGTGGGCGGATCACGAGCTCAGAAGATAGAGACCATGGTGGAACCCCTTCTCTACTAAAAATACAAAAAAAATTAGCTGAGTGTGGTGGCGCACGCCTATAATCCCAGCTACTCGGGAGGCTGAGGCAGGAGAATCGCTTGAACTTGGGAGGTGTAGGTTGCAGTATGCCGAGATCGCGCCGCTGCACTCCAGCCTGGCGACAGAGAGCGAGACTCCGTCTCAAAAAGAAAAAAAGAAAATTGAGAAACACTAGTTATAAAATGAATGGGACCCCTTAAGAACCACACAGCTGTCCAGGCGCGCTGGCTCACGCCTGCGAGGCGGGCGGATCATGAGGTCAGGAGATTGAGACCATCCTGGCTAACGCGATGAAACCGCGTCTCTACTAAAAATACACAAAATTAGCCAGGCGTGGTGGCAGGCGACTGTAGTCCCAGCTACTCCGGAGGCTGAGGCAGCAGAATGGTGTGAACCCGGGAGGCGGAGCTTACAGTGAGCTGAGATCATGCCACTGCACTCCAGTCTGGGCGGCACTGCCAGACTCTGTCTAAAAAAAAAAAAAAAACCGCTGATGTCTGATGTCTGATAACAGGAAGACCAATCAAGCTTTCCCATTATTCCCAACTCAGATCTGCATTCTCCCAGGCTCTCAAGGTCTCTCCT